ATATTTATTCAAATTTGTGACTATACATAATGATATATACACAATACAGTTTTATATTCTAGTCGTTGCCTTATTAGTTAACGAATTATCCGCCGTCAAATATTTGCATACCTTTTAAGGGAACTTTGCATAATAAAAATATGAAAATTTATTTTGTAAAAACAAATCATTGCGTCACAATTTGGCGTCAAAATTTTCATTTATTATCAATGAAAATGTATAAAAATTGTTTATTGGTTTCATGTCATTAAACAAAATTAATTTTCTATATTAGGTTTTAAATTTTACGCTATGAGCGGTAATTGTAACACATAACAGTAATATATCGTTGAGGTTCATTTAATTTAATCTTCGCCCGTGGTTATTTGTCTATTAATAAAAAAAAATTAATACAAATTTTTTTTACCATATTTTTAAAATAAATAAAATATTTTTTAATATTATATTTTATACGTTTTCGAAGTACAGAGGTTTTAAATTAAAATTAAAATTTTTAATTTTAGTTTAATTTTGTATTTAAATTAAGATTAATTAGAAAATTAATATGGAGGATTGAACCTTATTATAGAGTATTTTATGGTCGATTATAAATGTCATCTGAGTTCTACGTCTACTCTATTCAGTTCTTAATTAGGTTTATATGTATATATATTTAATATATCTGTATATATTAGTTTTATATACAAATTCATATTTATATATATTAAATTTGTTTATTATTAATTTTTATTTTTCATAAATGATGAAGATTTTTCTAGAGGTGTTAAATACTGTAGCAAGTATTCATATGTATTTTTATTATTTATGATTTATTTAATTAATTTTGTTGTGGCAATCTCCTTTCTATCTTAGGTAGAACTTAGTATGTTTTTTTTACAATACTATGTTTAATTACAGTTTAGCAAATTTCTTTGTTTATATTTGTTTTACATTATTTTTTTATTGGTATCCCAATAAATAAATTATATGTTTTAATATTTATCACACTTTATGTTATATACTTATTGATAAAAGATTTATATTATTTTTCTGTTTACAACCGATTTTTCAAAAAAACTAGTATCCAGTGCCGTAAGTTATTAATTTAAATAAAATATTTGCCTCGTTACTACATCTAATTTAATAATGTTTGATATTTTTAGAAACTGTTCTAGGATTATTACAATGACATAACCTATTGGTTTCGATAAAAATATAAGTATATAATTTATATAAGCAGGGTACCTACCAATTGAATTGATTTAATACAAATTGATTTAAAATAAAAATAAAACATTTATTCAAAATGCAATTAAAAAGAAGATATAATATTTATTATTTCAAAAGGGAATATAAGTAGATTTTTATTATAATTCTAAAGACACTCTCACCTTGATTAGAACAGCAGAGTTCGGAATTTGGAGAATTTCTGTATGGCATTTACTGTCAATTTTTTGTATCAATACAGAACCGTCATTTACATATTAATTGAACACATGGATATTAAAAATTGAAATTCAGGTGATAGTTTTATCATCGATATTACTGGCATTGATTGACAGATTGAAATATTTAAAATAGTTTTTCAAGAATATTTATTAGCAAATCGGGGTGTTTTTTATCAGTTCTAGTTTTTTAGAATTAATATCGAAATATAGAGTTCATCTTACATTTTAAAAATTCATTGAGATTATTTGAATATATTTATACTAAGACACATACCCTATAGCGTCTCAAAGCTCTCTCATCTTCCCGTGTAATGAATCCAGGGATTATATTTATACGTATATCTATTCATTATTAATGCAGCAAGACCGAAGAAGCAAGAAATTGATTTAAATTATTGAAATTTTTTGAAAGACTCTTTGAAGTAAATTTCTGGCTATGGACTTGGATATTATTATAAATTCTTATTATATTATTATATTATATTTTTATATTATGTTAATTATAAGTGGAAAACTATTTTTGATTTATAATTTAATGAATTTATTTCTTAAAGTCCAAGTATTCACAAATATTAAAGGAAATTTTCTGTTCAAATCAGAAACATTTTATAATAAATATATTTTTACGAATTTTAGCTTCGTAAATATTTGCTTTAAATTTTTAATAAATTTTTTATAAAAATTTCGAAAATGTACTTATAAGTACATTATAAAAATAAATTTATCTAGATACGTATGAACTCATTGACGCGATCAAAATAGTGTAACAATGATGAAATGTCACGAACTGTTTGCGGTATTGACGTACATTTACATGCGTTCCCGCACCTCCTTAGATGTATTCAAAAGTATCTGCAGTTACAGACCGAGTTTAAATTCATAATTAAAAACCGCAAAATCAATGTACTAAATAGAAAATAATTGAATAAATATATTTAAGGTTTTTGTTATTTGCAAATGCTTTTCATTTTTAGTTTATATTCTATTTTTGTACTAAAATCATTTAAATTTGAACTCCAACAGTGCCGTCCAATAACGGAGAATGAGCATATAACGATCATATCGACCGAGAACAGTTCAACAATTTATATAACAGATATAGTAGCCGATGATAGTGGTAAATATACAGTCGAAGTTATGAATGAGCTAGGCACAGACATGGCTGCAGCATCTGTAGCGGTGTACTCAAAACCTGATCCGCCAAGTGGCAAGCCTAGTATTTCGTCTGGACCCGATCGTATTGCAGTTGCTTGGTGTGGTCCACCATATGATGGTGGTTGCATGATAACAGGATTTATGTAAATTAATATAACACTCAAATTTAAATATTATTATTTATTTTATTATTATGTATACACAGCATTGAGATGCAACAACTGTCGGCTGGACTTGAAAGCAATTCAGCGACAGAAACTGATTGGCAAGAAGTAGCAACAGTTGTCGACTCTCTAGCGTACACTGTTAAAAACCTGAAACCGCAAACAGCTTATAGGTTTCGAGTGCGCGCAGAGAATCTGTATGGCCGCAGTGAACCGAGTTTACCAAGTGATCGTGTTGAATTAGCGGCAGAAGACTTGTCAGTGGAAGGTAATTCAAAAACTTAAAATTTATAAATATGTATAGTAATATTTTCTTTAATGAGAACAACTATATTACTTATAGACATTAACTGTAAATTGCGTAAAAAATATTTCAAAGTATTAATATATTTTATGTTTGAATTTACAGAAACAGATTTCAATCGGCCTATCTGCGTTAAGTCTGGAGGTGATTTTAAAAATCGTTTTGAAATACTCGAAGAATTGGGAAAAGGGCGCTTTGGTATAGTTTATAAAGTACAAGAGAAAGAGGAACCACACCAGGTGCTTGCCGCTAAAATTATTAAATGCATTAAATCCCGAGATCGTGAGAAAGTGAAAGAAGAAATTTCCATAATGAATTCTCTCAAACATCCAAAGCTCTTGCAATTGGCTGCATCGTTTGAAAGCGCAAGAGAATTAGTTATGGTGATGGAATAGTGAGTATATACAGTACAATATAATTAAATATACATAAATATATATATTTTTTACTTTTATTATAGTATAACTGGTGGTGAGCTTTTCGAACGTGTTGTAGCAGACGATTTCACATTGACTGAATTAGATTGTATATTATTTTTGCGACAAATTTGTGAGGGTGTGGATTATATGCACAGCCAATCCATTGTACATTTGGACTTGAAACCAGAAAATATTATGTGCCATACGCGTACAAGTCATCAAATAAAAATAATTGATTTCGGCTTAGCCCAACGTTTAAATGACACTTTGCCGGTGCGTGTATTATTTGGCACCCCAGAATTCATACCACCAGAAATTATAAGTTATGAACCAATCGGCTTTCAATCGGACATGTGGAGTGTTGGCGTTATTTGCTATGTACTGTATGTGTTCAATATATTATTTTTATATTTTGTGTATAAATTTGTTTTCTTTGGTATAGTTTATCAGGGCTCTCACCTTTTATGGGTGATTCTGATGTCGAAACATTTGCCAACATTACACGCGCTGATTATGATTTCGATGACGAAGCGTTTGATTGTATATCACAAGAAGCTAAAGATTTTATAGGTAGTTTACTAATACATCGTAAAGAGCGACGACTTACTGCTAAGGAGTGTTTGAAATCAAAATGGTTAACTCAAGGACATGATGAAAATCTGAGTAACAATAAAATTTGTACTGACAAACTAAAGAAATTTATTATAAGACGCAAGTGGCAAGTAAGTATTGTGAAATGGATGTTTTTTATTATTAAATTTTACTTCTTGCATGTCTGCATTTGATTAATAGATCTGAAATTTGCCCCTCTTAAGTATCTGTATTTTTTTGTTTTGGTATTTTAACTTGTTATATGATATTGTATTTAGTTTTAATGCCCATTATATAAATTGTACAGCAGTATTAATTTAATAATAATATACAGATATAGATAAAGATAATATTGATATTATATAGATAATATACATCTATAAAAAAGAGTTTAATAATCATTTTTTAATAAGTACGAAATACAATAAAAATATTCTTAACTCAACTATATAATATTTGAAGAATGTAATCCTACCCAATTCTATGTTTAAACATTCATTGGTTGCTTAATAAGTTAACAATACCAATATAAGGTTTGGTTTTCTGAGTATTGACTCTAATAAGAATCAAGTATTTGATAACATAATTGTATATAAACTTTTCACAAATTTACTTTAAACGTAAACCGAACCAATTGAAATCGATTACACTAAAACCGTTATGATTGTTGTAGCTTGTTGTGAGGCGTTGCCAGTTCCGGGAGCTCCAACAGGCAAGGAGCAGACTTGGGCAACCAAAGTTTTGGTTATAGTGGAATAGGATACTGATATAAAGTAATGTAAAGTAAAGAAAATGGAGAAAATAAATCTGACTCTCGTACCTACCCGTATAAAATTTACTATTTTAATATAATAGATGAATAAATCAGTTATATGTGCTGTGGGACATATGTAAACAGTAACTTTTAACCAATTTTAATTGTATCAATTTATTCAATTTTCAGTCCCTATCAAATATTCTTCCTGATTGCTCTAGTACAACTTTACTCGCTCAATATAGTTTTTCTTGTTATAGCTTTAACAGTTTTTATATATGTATATTATAATATATAATATAATATAATATACATATAATATATGTATGATATATTATATATTATAGTTTTCAGTCTATATCGGACTTTTTGTTCTTAATGTCTGGATGATAGAGCTATTTTATGGGTAGGCATATACATAATATATTAATTATCCAATCATTTGCCTAAATTAGCACGATATTATATGTCATATAGTGTTATATAGTAAATTTGTATTACTTTTTTAATCAAATTAGTTTGATCACTGATATTATTATTATTTCTTTCATGGAGAGTTCTATTTATCTATTACTTTCTAGTTTTAGACATGTTTACTTTTAAACATGTAAGGATTTCTGTGTTGGTAATACTTATTATTCTTGTTAAATTAAATTTTTTTTTATTTTACTATTTTACTTATAACATAGTAATATTTTATAGGGATGTTGTGATTCAACATAAATTAATAATAATTAATAAATATAAATATATATATAATTTTTAAAATTTTTAATATTTATTTAAAAAAAAAATTTTATTGAACTATAACTACATACAAATTTTATTAAATTATTAATAATGTATATTTTAAATAACAAATTTTAGTATATATATATATAATTGTATAGTATATATATATTAATAATATATGTATATACACTACATATACAGTGTTTTTTATTTTAATTTTAATTTGTTTTGTTTTATTTTTACATTTATATTTATAAATTTTATATTCGCATTTATTTAAATTTAAATTTTTTAGTTTTAATTTTAAATAATTAAATTGCTTTAAAATGCTTGATTAATGTGCTTTAGAAAACTGGCAACGCAATTAGAGCTTTAGGCCGCATGGCTACATTATCTGCTTCACGCCGTAATTCCGCTGTTTCCAATTCCTTACCCACCAGTCCCAGACCCTCAGTGTCGGGTACATCTATTTTCAATCCAAATTTACCTGTACAAATGAGTTCGTTGCATGAGGAGGATGACGATTTCAGTATAGAGTTACCAACTCTGGATGCGCAACGCAGAATGCAGCAATCATTGAAAGTGCGTGACAAATCTTATTGCAGTGAACGCAGTGATTCCGGTTATAGCGAATGCTCCACATGCAGTGGTGGTCCATGTCACTGTATACACGCGACCAAAGACTCTGAACGCGATGGTTCAGAAACAGTAAGAGACGAAAGCATAGTATTGTCAATTGCTGTACCACATGATGTACTTAAATCGAAGCTAGAACTTATTGTCAAGCATTCTGATGCGATAATCAGTAGCGAAGGAATAAAAGATAAGATGCTTATTACAGGAAAACAATATAAACATGATATCGGAATCAATGAAAATCGTGAACAGCAAGTAGAAATACAGTTCGCTTCCTCAGGGGAATTAACGACTGGTACAACAGTAACTACAACAACGAAGGAACCGATAATGCGTTCCGACTTTACAAACACAATAAAAATGCGCAAAAAGTCTCTTGAAAATAGTGTAATACGAGAAAAAGTCAAACAACCGAAAGCCGTACTAGAAACTTCTGGAAAGGTTTCTATGTTAAAAACCAAATTTAGCTGTCCTGCAAATAATAGTTTAACAGTGAGTCACGCCGCTAGCATTAACAGAAGTTACAAGAGCAAAGATTGCATGGATTTAGCAAAGAATAAAAATGTTTTGAATCGTTTTGCCTGCAATAATAAAAGTATTATATTTTTTTAATAATTTATTTTGCATTTCTTGAAAGAATATGAATTATAATTTTATACGATTGTTTTTTTTTAGCAAATGGCACACCACAACTTATTCAAAAATCCGAGCCAGCACAGTCTATTTCCATGCCAAACTCACCATTACCAACGCGCGCAAATGCGTCAATCCGGTTAAGTCCCCGGGTTAGAGAGGCTACAGAACGTCTTTCACAACAGCAAACTATTTCTAGTTCGATACGTAGAAACTCTCCAGAAAGATTAGAAAATAGAAATGGCATAACGTCCGCGCAGCACAGCACTAGGCACATACTTACCTTCAAAAAATCATAAATTATGTTTTTTAAATGTTAAAAATTTTGTTAAGATTTTTATTTTAAGCGTCTCTGTTTGTTCTTGTTTTTATATTTAATTTGTATTTAATAAGCATTTTACTCATTCAATAACCCACAATAAAACGAAAACTCGAATGAATATTACACATATATATATACATATTAAGCATTATTACATAAATTTAATGTTTATTTATATATTTATATACACGTAAATTAATTGAATTATATTTATATAAAATGTTGCAAAATCGAAAAATGTTCAAAAAATAAAAAAAAAATTATTTAACTATTGCATAGTTAATAGTTTAACGTAGCTAAACGAACTGCTTATTTCTATATCATGCAGCTAAAATATGTTTTCACTTTATAAAAAATTATTTTTAATTTATATACAAAAAAAAACAATAAAAAAGTAAAACATAAACATTAAAACGTTTTCCTTAACTATTTACAGTTTATGTGTATAGTTCAGATAAGTTGGAAAATTTTTTAACCCCTACCTATATAACGTTTACGGACCTATGTCGTCTGACACCAACAAATTTATTAAGGATCTGTATCGACTCGATATCTTTTGAAAACTCCCATTAATCGGAATAGAGGCGCAGACTCAATTCCGGGTCTAAAAAGTATCGGGAGAATGGGCAAATTGTTTGAAATCTTATCGAGAGTATGTTGATAATACCAATAATACCAAAAATAGGACATACCTACATTGCAGACTTGACAAAATAAACTTTCATGTGATTCAGATTTCTTGAAAAACACTATTACGGTTTATGTTGAAACCGTTCAACTGTTGATCTTATAAACATGGTTCATATTATATTTGAAGAGTGCAATGACTTTATGTAACATATCTACAGAAAACTCAAAGAAGTACTAGATGTCTTCAAATATAAATCTCAGGATTATAAAATCAACATCGACGAGTTCAAAAAACGAGTGCTACAGAATAGCCAGATACAAGATGATTTCTGTGTAAACATGGAAGTTTGGCAAAGGTACCATCTCTTTCTTATGCCATTCTTAACTGTTTAAAACGAAATGTTAATACCATAATGTTGTTAGGCAGTCACCATACAACTCAATAGGGACCTGTTTTTATGTATGTTATACTTGCAGATACCTTCAATATCTTAATCAAACCCTGTAGAAAGTTAAATTAAAAATCTATAACTTTAAAACTATAGTAATATTCCACTGCTATATGTTAGTGTCACGAACAATCTTTCTGTTAAAAATTTTAGAGCGGTGTTAATTTTTTATACTTACGAAAAGTAGTGGAACTGAATAAATGCTCAAATTATTAACAACAATCTCGTTACGCACTTCGTCTACCTTTTTGATAGGTTGTCTCTACGTTTTTCAACAAAACATTTATCAACACAGAGATATTGCTCTCAAAGCATATATTATGCAATAACATCAGTAAGATCTGTTTGATCTTAAAGTTTAGTTTTCAAAAAGCTATGTTATTGAAATTTGACTATCTAAACGGTTTTCGATGTAACCTTTCCTCAGTTCTTTGTGTTCTGATTCGTTAGGTTCAATACTTATTGGTCTTAGAATCATTAAAAAAAAAGCTTGATCATCAACATAAAGCGTTTGGTTTTGAAGTTTGCATTGCTTTTTATCGTCTATTCAAGTGAATGCTTTGGATTTCTATTGGGTTTTTTTTGACTGCCAGAGGATATCGTTGGTATTAACGGTGATAACGTTTATATGCTGCAATCGGCAATATAATGTATGTCTTCACTTGCACTAATAGAATAGATGATCAGGAAAATGTCATCGCTAGACTGTTTTAGACACATCTTTGTTTTGCAGCTGACGATTTAAGAGCCTAAGATGTGTCTTTTATTTTGCCATCTTTCTTGATCTCACTGTTTCAACACATTTTCATTTACACACTCTAAAATTAGTAATAAATATCTCACAGCTAAGGTTTCCAAAAGCTGTGATGTCTCCAACTCTTTTCAATTACATTTCAAGTCCTAAAATATTACAATACCTCATCGCAGGAAACCTGTTCAGTTTTAACTACTTTTAACAATCCAAATGGCATAAGTCCATCGTTTTACATTTCAAAACATTTCTGTCGGAACGTAACAAGATAAGGTATTGTGCTTGCTATATGGTAAACATTTATAGGTGTTTCTTTCTATATTCTTGTTTTAATATATCCATATCGGGTTTTTACCACATACTAAATATATCTTCAATACATTAATAGACCTCATAAATTTAATTGGTATAATTTTATTTTGGAAATTAGAAACAGTTAAAATACCTTGAATAACAAATTTTAAATTTGTACGATATAATCCCTTCGAATTATAACATTTAACCTTCGAATGGTTCTTTTTAGTTTTCTCATTAACCCAAATTCTTGTATAATTTCCATATTATATAGATGCTTTCACATCTAGTTTTGTAACCCATAAAAATTTTAATAATATTAAAGGCATATAAATAACTTAATTCCTAAAGGTTTCGACATAACTAAATTTACTTAAAGATCTACAACTTAATTTACGACAAATTCACTTAATTGGTCTTTCTCGTGGTTTCAATTTAACCCATAATCCACCCGATGCACGTAATGTAATACGAAATGTAGCTTCAAATGTTGTTTTTCCCGGAACTGGAAATATCTGATAGCTACGCAATAACCGGGAGACAACTGTCTTCATTTCCATAATTGCAAATCGATTGCCAATACAATAACGAGGGCCAGCGCTAAAAGGTATGAAGGCGTATGGATGCCTATTTTCATTGTTTTCTGGGGCAAATCTTGTTGGATCAAATTTTTCTGGATCCGGATAAAAGTGCGGTAAACGATGTGTAGCATAAGGACATATAAAAATATTACTACCAGCTGGTAATGTATATTTTCCCAGACGTACTTCTTCTCCCAGTTTGCGAGCTATTAGGGGAACACTTGGATACAATCTTAGTGCTTCTTTAATGCACATTTCTAAATAACGCATTTCACGTAAGTCACTCATAGTTGGTGATCGTTTGTTATCATCAGCAAATATTTGATCAATTTCTTCACAGCATTTTTGTTGGCAATCAGGGTTTTGGGCAAGCAGAAATATAGTAAATGCTACTGCTGCTCCAACACTATCTTGACCGGCCAGCATAAATGTACAGGCTTCGTTTACGATATCTTCTTCAGTAAAATCAGGATTAGTATCAGCGATTTCAATCATATAATCAAGAAGGCATTTACGCTCGTTACTGTTGTTGTTGTTATTGTTTGTATTGTTGTCCTTTAAAAACATTTCTCTACGACGTTTAATCATTTGACGTGTAAAATCATTTAGTCGTTGCTTCTGATCAAGTTCTTCTGAGGCAAGTTTGGTCATGTGATAAATGCTGTCCAATAACAACCAAGGTTGCACAAAACGCTGTGGTATCACCACTTTACCTCTACAAAATAAACGAAAAATATTAATAAGGGTTTTAAAAAGATATTAAAATAGCAATTTCGTGTACTTACTGTCTAAACGGTGACTGTTCCATATCTACTAAACCCTTCTTTTTAACTGGTACACCAAGAACGGCTTCTGCAAATGTTTTGGAAAATAGATCATATACAGATCAAATATTTTCATGAAATTTTTGTTAATTGCTATATATAATTACTTTTTATTTATTATATTTACCATTTAATATATCCATTACACAATTGTTAACAAATTTTGCTATATTAATTTCATTACAATCGGTGATGTCTAAAGTCTCACATAAAACCTGTGACGCATCTGCAAATGTACCTATAAATTTTTCTAAAATGTGCAGATGGAACATTGGTTGGATCAGTTTGCGATGAGCATGCCATTTATCTCCACTACTGGTAATTAGTCCATTACCCAAAAAGTTATGCATTAGCTTGTAGAAAAAAGATTTATTTGTGTGTTTCTTGGAGGACAGTACTATCTGTAAATCATCTGGC